TCTGTGCAGAGGTCAGGAACTCAGTAATTTTACAATCCAAGCCAAAACAAACTCTATATGATCTATAACTGATTTCCTTTTAAGTTCCCCTTTTTTGCTAGGACTGACTTCCTTTCATTTTACTCCAATTTACATTAATCCCTGTTAGAGACGTTTTCTTTCCTTGCTCCCTACCACCAACTTCAAACATTTCTCGCATCAAGAACAAGTGACTTGTTCTTTTAGAAGACCTTCTCTCACTTTTTTGAAGACCTTCTTAAAAAAAAATACATGAAAAGACACCCTGACTTTTGGGATGTAGTTTGGCAGCCTGTGATTTCCGAGTTCACTTCCCAATGGGTGGAGCTAGAAGATTGGAGCTCAGCTGCCTACGTGACCACGAAGGTTGTTCCGAGCCAAACCACCTGCTTATCTAACACCACCCCCACCCCCACCCCTGGTGTGAGGTGGTCAACACCTACAGGGGCCGTTGAATAATTAGAGGCTCCGTTTGCCAGAGGCTGTATATTCTCTATATTTCGTGATCAGGGCTGCCTCTTTCTGTGGCCTTCGGTGATGAGAAATGGTCTTGTCTGATTGCCTGAACAGATCAGAGCCTGAGCATGTGTGAGTTGAGGATTTTTAGTTCAGGCCCACATTTTGTTCTCTCCTTTGTAGCAGTTATTGTCATCGTTGTCACTGACTTCCAACTGGACAGGTGGTGAAGCTCAGCTTACATCGTCTGAATTACTGAGTTCAGCACACCTCGCAGCAGACAGGATGTGGTTAAAATTGTGCTCAGATCTTCTCCCTGGTCTCAGGAAAAGTCTTTCTTTCCCCATTTCTGCTCCCTGTCTTTCTCTGCCTCTGAAGGTTTGGAGGCCAAGTTGTGTTAGGACAAATAGAGTCACAGAATAGGAATCCTACCAGCATCTGGATACACAATTCTTTGCTATCTGAGGAGGATTTGCTGGATAGCTTGTATCTTCTCACCTTCTGGAGATGGAATAGATCACGGTGCTCTCTTTAGTGTCTTCTGTTCTTTTCCACCATTAAATTAATAAAAATAGTGACAGAAGGAGACTCAAAGGCCAGTGATTCTGAGGTGTTCTCGAAGGCACGGGATGGGCAGAAGGCAAGCTTGCACTGTGCTCTGTGGTCTTGGCTCTATCATTTAACCTCTGAATCTCAGTCATCATTTGCCCAGTGGGAATGATAATTATACCCACCACACAGAGTTGTTGTGAAGCATGTACTGTGCAGAGTAGGATCTCAGCTCATTGCTGTCGAAGTGGAACCAGTTCATAGCTGACTCTCCAGCGGATTTTAGAAGCTACACATCCCACTAGAGGAGATTACCACGGAGCCACTGATGGATTCAGACTGGCAGAGAGGTGTAGCCTTTGGTTTGCGTCACTAAACGGAAACCCCCCCCCTCTAAACAACAACAACAACAACCCCCCCAAAAAAAAAACAAACCAACACATCAACAAAACCACCTTATTGCTATAGAGCCAGAACCAACTCATAGCTGACCCTCCAGTAGGTTTTCGGGAGGCTGCGAATCACATGGGAGGAGATTGCCTCTCTTTTCTCCCTGGAGCTGCTGGTGGCTTCAAGCTGCCAGAAGAGAGTCACGTTTGGATTTGCAGCTCAACCTCTAGCAAAACTTCTACCAACTAG